TATTCTGGGAGTTAGGGGGTAGAGTGGGTGGCTGTTTGTGTAGACTCATTGCAGGGGTTTTAGGCAGGGTTTTGGAAAGGGTCTTCCTATTCTGTTGTTGATGGCAAAACGAAAAGATCTTTCTCTTTTGCTGCCCCTCATTCCTATGTCCTTTTCTCAGTCTCAGAGCCTGTATAACACCCATAACCGTGGGGTTTGCAGGCAGGAGGGGGGGCACCTATGCTTAGGACTGGGGTAAAAGTATTCATGGGATTCATGCATTGGGCAGGCACCAAGTCACTAGGTACTTTCCACTAATTCTGCTGTGCTGTTGCCTTAGTCATCGGAGAGCCTGATGGACTGAGATGGGACAGAAGATATAAAAATAAGAGATGCCCCGGTGGCTCAGTAGTGAAGCATCAGCCTTCGGCTCAGGTCATGAATCAGGGTCCTGGGATGGAGCCCCGCATCTGGCTCTTTGCTTAGTGGGGAGTCTGCTTCTCCCTCTCCCACTGCCTGCTGCTCCCCCTGCTTGTGCTCACTCTGTCAAATAATAAATAAATAAATAAAAGTAAGTCCTCATCTTTACAGGGTCAGTGCTTCACACCCAGTATTTTATCGATCCTTCCCTGACCCTGTGAAGTCAGGGTCTTAGGTTGGATCCTGGGGTACAGAGGCTGCTGATGTCCATGAGGCAAGGGGAACATGAGCCCCAGAAAGGCAGCCAGAGGATGGGGTTCCACACCTGGCTCTACCCCCGGTTAGCCACATGACCTGGAACTGGCGACTCAGTTTCCCTGCACTCAGTTCGTAATTGGTTAAGAGACCCTGAACGTGGAAGGTCTTTGTAAACTGTGAAAGGCTCCCAGCTGCGGCGTTTAATGGCGGTGGCTCATACTCAGGACTCCATCCTCCACCTAAATGCTCTCCCTTGAAGGGGCCAAGTGTGCGCTTCCTCCTGGCCCTGCCTCCACAGCCGCCCCCCCTGCACGTGGGAGTGGGTCCGTGAGTCCGGAGAGGGCCAGGCAGGGCGGGGCATAGGAGGTGTGCCCGGGAGGAAGGAGGGGGAGGGAAGGTCTGCCCGGTGCCACCTCCCTGCCCCGTGTCTGGCTCCCACTGGCAACCTGAGCCCTTGGCCTCCCAAGCCGCTCCAGGAGTGCAAACCCCAAACAAAGCACATTCTTGAGCCTGTCCCCAGCTCCTGACCCTTGGTAAGGGAAGGCCAGAGCCAGCATTTCTCTTGGCCCTGAATGACACGAGCACAGTCTGGTGCTGGGGGCTGTTAGCACAAGCCGGGATTAATAGGCTGGCTGTCCCCCAGAGCTTACGAAAAGCCCAGTCCTGAGCCAGTCCTCCAGTCCGAGCCTGCTGCAAAGGGAGAGAGGACCCGATCCCTAAGCGAGGGGACTTGGAATACCTCTGATTTCCTGAATCTGATTCTTTGTGCCAGTCACGGGCTGTAGACGGGCTCCGAGGAAGCCGGGGCATTGTGAAGATTACTCTCCACGCTGGTGCTGTCTCTCGGCTCTTTGGTTTCTGGCTTCATTCAATTCAGCTGTTTGTTACACATTTATTTCACCAGTTATTTGTTACGCATCTGGACACAGCAAGCCAGGCTCTCTGTGATGCTCTGAGCGCCTGAGGGTGAATGGCATTGTATGGTCCTGAGGACAACCTACAAAGTTTTGTGTGTGGGGGTGGGGCATGTGTGGGGGCAGTGGCTGTGTTCACCAGGTGCATGAAGGGCAGGGACCCTGGTCAGAGGCAAGGAGAGGAGGAGGAGAGGCGGGGAGGTAGGAGCTGTGCCAAGGGACTCAGAGGCCCAGACTGAGGCTGGGAATTGCCTGAAGGGTAGAGGGTGCTCCCGGGAATGCTAAGCTCGGCAAGGACAGCTGGATTTGGAGACAGAGAAAGATTTCCGAAGCGGAGGGGTCTGAGGTGAACAGAGACCCATCCAGAAGGGTCCCCAAAGATGGGGACACTGAATCCAGATAGGGGAGCCTGGGAAAGGGATTTGTCCCTTACTATACCCTTACGAATGTTTGCTTTTAAGGATGTGAGTTGCTAAACAGATTAGACCAAGCCTCACTTTCTGTTGAGTGGGAGGGAGAGTGTCCCCAGTGTCCCCTTCTCATCCTCCAGATAAGGAGGGCAGGGCAGGCCCCCTTCGGGGAACAGTGAGTGGGAGCTTAGGAGTCCATCGCTTCAAGGGCACAGCCACACCCTCCCTTGCAAGGCTGACCAGAGGAGGAGCCTGGAAGGCCCAGCTCCAGCCCAGATAGGCCAGACCACTAGTCGCAAGCCTGGAGGTCCTCACTCCAGCAATGCGGAGGGTGGAGGGAGGCTGGGGGAAGACAGACTTCTCTCTGAACCACCTAGAAAATTCACCAACTCTAGCAGTCCCCTCAGGTGGCCAGTCTTCAGATACTTCTGGCCTCCAGTCCCTTATCCCACTGACCCTCTGAGTCATCTGCCAAATACTTCTTCTTCGGAGGGTGTTTTACATGAAGAAAAGAAATTGTCTCAGGAGAGTCCAATCTGGCTAATGAGGAACTGGGCCTGGGAATTTTTCCCAGTTCTTCCCCTCCAGGAACCATCACCTAAACTCACTCAAGACACACTTCTCAGGCACTGGCTGGGTTCCGGGCATGAACCAGCTACTGAGTACATGAGGGCAAGCTAGAAAGACTGGGCTCCCCCATTTCCGGATGAGGAAGTCACTATTTCCCCATCTGTAAAACAGACCGATCCCAGGCTTGCCCAAGCTCACAGGGATACCAGGATGTGAGGGGCCTCCAGTTGTCATGGCACTCATCTTTCTGGGCTTGACATTTAGAACCCCTTACATAGTACACCCCAGCTGATGTCCTTGTTGCCTCCGTATGCTATGTCATTTGAGGCAATGGAGTGTTTCCTTCAGAACGGTTGAAATCTCAGACATGGCTCAGTCACTTACTAGCTGGGGACCTTGGACAAGTTACGTAATCCCTTGGAGCCTTTAGCTTTCTCATCTGCGAAATGGGACACTCCTTACCTCATCGAGTTGATCTAAGGATTGAAGTGAGGGCTTCACCACCTTGTCAGATTGGGAGATGAAGAGGAGAAAGAGGAGGGGAGGGACCTTTCCAGAGAGGGATGGTGACACGAAAGCCTATGGGGGGGGAGGTGGAGGGGGTGGAGCGGGGCCTGGAGCCGGGCCATCTCTCCCCAGATCCTGAGCGGCTTTCATGGTACCTCGAGGTACAGACCACGTGGTTCACCACTGACACTCCCTGCTTCCCTAGCTCAGCAAGGCACCCCCAAAGTCTTTCCCAGGAGGGACCTCCAAGAGGTAAGTCCTCAGCAGATGCCAGCTCCGGCTCTTAGTGGCCCTCATGGGCTGTGGTGGCCAGTCCTTCATTCTCATAATAGGGAGACCCTTTTTCAGGCTCACCGTGCCCCTGAAATTCCGACCATTTAAAAACGCCTCGGTCCCATCCGTGGATCCGGTATCGTTCTGTATGCTTGGAAAGCCCCCTCCTCCAACACACACACACACACACAGCTTTGGCCTCTCTTGGAAAGGGTGGAGGGACCCCTGCTTGTAAATGCCTTTCTCAGGGAGGGTGAAAGGGGACAGTGGAAGGTGGGGGGTAGGGGCGTGCAGACCAGGGCTGGACTTGGCAGTGGCTTCCCAAACATGCTGTTCCATCCCTCACGGGGTCTGAAGCTCTTCTAGCACCTTCTTCTAACAGTTACTTCAGCAACAAACAGACCCGAAATAGGGGTGCCCAGAAGCAATAGAAAAGTCTCCCCCACAGTGTGCTCGCCAGGGGGCACCTGTGGCCATCAGCAGCCTCTGGCCTGCGTGGGAAGACCAGGCTGAGCCAGCAGGGGGCAGCACGCTCCTGAGGCTGCATGAAAGGAGAAAAGCCCCAGATTCTATTTGTCCTGATCCCCAGAGCGGATCCTCCAGGAGGCTCTGACAGGTGTTCCTCCTCTGTTCCTGCCTCTCGGGAATGAATTACCACAGTAAGTGCCGTCTGACTCCCCGGTAACCCCTCCCGAGGCAGGTTTTCTTTGTATCCCTGGTGCTGGTACAGCTTTTTAAAAAATAACTGGCTCAGTTGGTTAAGTGTCTGCCTTCGGCTCAGGACAGGATCCCGGGGTCCTGGGATCGAGCCCTGCATGGGGCTCTTTGCTCAGGGGTGGGGGGAGCCTGCTTCTCTCGCTCTTCCCCTCCCCACTGCTTGTTGTTGCTCGCAAACAAATAAATAAAATCTTAAAAAAAAAAAAAAAAAGAAGAAGAAGAGGCTGCCTGGAGGGCTCAGTCAGTTTAGCCTTCAGCTCAGGTCATGATTCCAGGGTCCTAGGATCGAGTCCTGCATCGGCTCCTTGCTCAGCGGGGTGTCTGCTTCTCCCTCTGCCTCTGCCTCTCCCCCAGCTTGTGCTCTCTCCTTTCTCGCTCTCTCTGACAAATAAATAAATAAAATCTTTAAAAGGGGGCGGAGCGGCACTCAGTTAAGACTGTCTTCAGCTCGGGTCATGATTCCAGGGTCCTGGGATCAAGCCCCACGTTGGGCTCCCTGATCAGCAGGGACCCTGCTTCTCCCTCTCCATCTGTGTGCTCACTCACTCTCTCTCAAATAAATAGATAAATCTTAAAAAAAGAAAAGAAGAAGAAGAAGAAAGAGGTGCTCTGAAAGCTTCAATTCTTTAAGTCCATGAGCAATCCCCTTTCCACTTGGGTAAGATGGCAGTGAACTTCAGCTGAGTGAACCGAGGCCACCATGAAGACATCAGCTGACGAGCTTAGCCCTTCCTGCCTCCTAACTGGAGTCTTGCCTACAGCCATACTGGGAGCGAGGTGACACAACCGGTCGAGGTTTGGGGATAGAAACTGCTCCGTGGGAACAGCCAAGGACAGCTGGCCACCTGGGACCCTATTTAGTCTGAGACCGTCACAGGGACGGATTTTGGGGGTCCCCTCTACCCATCAAGATACCCATCCACCCAACCCCGGCACCAGCTGCCCGAGAGGATAGGAATATAGATTTTAATCATTGTGCTGCTGCTGTTAACCCGGGTGTAGTCAATCCAGACTTCGTGGATTTTGATGCCACAGTGTACACGAGAAGGTTTTGTACAGAAACTCTCCAGGAACGTTGGGGACAAAAGGGCCAGGGAGGGGTGGCGGAAGGAGAAAGTGAGTGAGGAGAGGAGCGGGAAGCAGAGCCTGGGCTGGGTGTCTGCTCCTTCCTCATCATTGCATTCCCATCAAGGACCCGAGAGGCCTGGGATCTTCCTGGCCGAGGCTGCTGACCTGGACTGGTCCATTTGAACCTGACTTCCCTTCCAGCTCAGCGGCCCCTGCTCCAAAGCCAACTCGCTGAGCAGATGAGGGCGAGGGCAGACCCACTGCTGACCGCCAAACAGGGTAGGGATGCGAATCATGGGAGAGAAGACGGGTTTGGGAGTCCTTGCAACCCCTCACCATTTTCCATCCCAAGAGACCCTCAAACTAGCACAGAGCTGGGGAGAGGACAGTGATAGCCGCGGTCTTCTGCCCCACCCACCTCCTGCCCTGGCCACTGGGGGAGGCGGAATTCACAGGAAGGGGAGGTGGCAGGTACTCCCAGGCCTTCCTCTGCCTGAGCAGGAGGGGAGGAGCCTCCTCAGAGCTGGGCTGGGCTCCAGCTGCAGGCTCAAGGAGTCAGCGTGTCTTCTTGACGGTTTCCTGGGATAGGTACAGTTTGGAGGTGGAGGGAGGTCCCCCAGAGCCCCTAGGGCCTGACCCCCCTAGTTGCGGACAGGAGCTGGCACCCTGGGAAGTCACCCAAACTGCTCTGATGAGACCATGTCTGTTGTCAAGAGTGGAGTGGTCTGGTCCGGGGCGGAGGCGCCACGCCCCGGGGCAGCTAGGAGTCGGAGACGCACAGGGCTTCCACGGCATCGCTCAGACCCTGGCTGACGCCCCCCACGGCCAGGAGGCAGTTCTTGATGACAATGCTGGAGCAGGCACAGCGGGGTGTGGGCATGGTGGGGAGCGCCTCCCACTTGTTCTTCCCCGGGTGGAATGCCTCTGCCGTCTCCAGGACCGTGGGCTGGTTCCCTGAAAGCGCCAAGGGAAGCGGACCTCACAAAGGAGACCGGCCACCGATCCCTGCCCCACAGCACCGCCACCTCCCTGGCCCCCTCTGGAACCCACAAGCAGAAGCCAATGGACCTCAGTCGCTGGGCTGCAGAACGGCTCCCTCCTGACCCTGGGCCTTGGCTCTTGGCCGACAGCCTCTTGGCCCCGCCTGCCTTCTCTCCCTCTTTTCATCTCCACCCACTGCTTTGACCACAAGTCTCTAGACACTGCTGCTGCCTTTCTTTTGCCTTGTACTAAACAGCTGTCCTCGAGGTCTGGCTCGCATTGAGCTCCTTTCATGCTTGGGCGAAGTGGGAGTCTGTCCACACTGCGTAACCTCGGGGCGCCTAGAGGTTCTCTGCCCTCTTGAGGCTGGGGTCCTGCCTTCAAAATACCTCTAGTCTCTGCGAGGAGTAACCCAGCAAATCCTGAACCCATTACAAAAATCCGTCTAATCAGGTTGCTCTCCTAGTCCACGATGGAGCTGGATATCCAGGGAGGAGAGCGAGCCAGAGAAAGAGGACCAGGCTAATCCCTGCTACGCGTTTGTCCCCAGGTGTTCCTGGATAGGGCCCCAGGGAGCTGTGCTCAGCAAGCCTGCTGCCCAAGGTCGGCAGCCTGTTCCGCAGGCTGTCTTGGCCTCAGCTCCCCCTGTGTGAGAGGATGGAAAGAGCACATGGGGACCCGTTTGTGGATATGTGGGAGGGCATGTTTTGAATTATTTGGGTTAAAGTGGTAGGCAGGCAGTGTGCAGGAAGCAGCCAGAATCTTCTCCTGTTCACGCAGAGCGCCAAGTGTCCACCAAGCACCCGACCCGCAGTAACAGCCTGAAAGCGCCATCCTTACCGAGTCCTCCGGCCACTATGACCCGTCCGCTCAGAGAGCCGGCCACAAAGTCTGCCCGCCGCTTCTTGAGGAAGAATGAGCGTTCCATCTTCAGCCAGCCCCCTACGGGCCATGGATCGTGGCAGATAAATTGAGAGAGAATTAGATGCTGACCTCCCCCACCAAATACGCACCTTGTCCCCAGAGCTCACGCCCGAGGCCGAAGTCCACTCCAACCACCTTTGTGCTCCGGGCAGAAACTACACCTCCTGCTGTTTGAAATGATGGGCTCCGAGGCCTCCCGCCTCTCCCACCCAGGCTTGCTCCAGTCCAAGGAACCATAATCCCCTGCAACGAACCACCTCGTTCTGTCTCTGTTCTCGTGGGCTCCGAGCTGGAGAGAAGGCTAACTAGAGGCAGCGAGCGTGAAGGTCGGGATCCTTCTGGGTCTACATTGGTAAAAAGCAGGAGAAGCCCTCCCTCCCCTGGCCCTGCCTGGATGTCGTAAGAAGAGAAAATAGATGGGAAAGTCTTGGAGACAAATAACCAGCCAGCCAAGAGGAACCCTGTCCAGATGGAGGAAAGTGATCCCAACAGTAGCCTGGAATGATGAGGGCTGTCCAGATCTCTGAAAGCTTCCCCTTGCTAGGTCAGCGCCCCTGGGTGGGTGCATGGGATGGGGGCAAGGTGCAGGGAGTCAGCCAGAGGGGTGGTGTGCAGCCAGCGGCTGGTGCCCTGCTCACCTTGTTCCATGTCAAACACGTCCATGGTCCGGAGGAACTTGGGCTGCCGGTAGAGCCGACCCTGCCTCAGGCCCCCCAGGCTGTAGAGGCGGTCATCCAGGGTCACAAAGCTAGAGAAGGCCCGCTTGCTGGGAATGTTGGGGAACTTGGTCCAGGAGCGAGTCTCAATGTCAAAGACCTCAAAGGCATTGACTGCATACTTGGACTGTCGTCCCCCTGGGGGCCAGAAAGGGGTTGGAGGAGTGGAAGGGGGGGGGGCCACAGTAAGTACCTGAGGGCAAGGGCTGGGTTTCCCCTTTTGACTATTACCGAGCCGTATAGGGAGCGCACTGTGTGTCAGTGCTTCCTGTGGGAATGGACCCCAGGAGAGAAGAAGAGATAGATGTGGGACAGATAACATGTCCTTACCTAGCACATAGATCTTGGAGCCTCGGAGGAAGGAGGTGGCAGCATATCTCGGGGTGGGCATGGGTGCTAGTGACACCCACATGTCCTTGAGCATGTCATAGTGTTGGAGGTGATTGTGTGGACGGAGGTCCAGGCCCATCCCGCCGGCCGCGTACACTCGGTAGTCTAAGGAGAAAGGCCACACACATACCCCTGGCTCAGCTCATCTGCACGACGAGACAGGCCCATCAGTAATCACCTATTATCAGACCTGGCTCCATTAACCCCTTGAAGACCAGCACTAAGGTCAGGTCAGGTTCCCAACCACTGCAACGTCCCTGAGTAGGGCTGATGAAACCAGGACAAGTCCCTGCCGGGTTGAGCCTGCGTCTTCCTGAAACCGCATCACGCTTGCGTGTCTTAGTCGTCCTTGGTGTCTGGCCCTTGGCTGAATCTTGCACGGGGTAGACTGTGATGGAGGGGGGTCTGGACAACCCTTCGCAGGTCTTGTCCTCTCCATGTTCCTCCCTCCTAGGCAGCCGGAGGGAATGCCAAAGAGGAGAGGTATTCCTCCTAATGCCTTCTAATAGTGGACTGTTGCTTAGGCATTCCCAGACTGGAATGCTCCAGACCCAGCAGGAGCCTTTGGAAATGAGGTCAGCTCTGCTGTCGCTGGCCTTGTGGGACACTGGCCTGCTGCTGATTTTCTCTGTCTGCCCCCTCCTCCCCCAGGAGTGCCTTCCTCCTTCGCACACTGGGTGGCTTGTGGGCTCCAGAAGGCATCCTGCACTAGGTGAGACAGGGTTAGGGCTGAATGAGGGGGAGGCTTTGGAGGACAGAAGACTAGCCCCTTCAAGGAACCCTGCCAGGGCGGTAAGCTGGGTACTCTCAGAGCAGAAGCGAGTTCACTCCCATTTTCTGTTGCTCTTGGCCGCAGGTAGGCAGGTAGGCAGGCACCTCCCTGACACACCGCAGCAGAGAGGATAAGCAAGGCGTCCCTGTTTCCCGCGGCTTCCCTCCAGGGCCTCCTGAGGCCTACCAGAGACACAGCTTCCCCTGCTCCCTGACCCCACAAGCCACTCGCCTTCCCGGGGACCCACCCGTGCCTGGGATTCTGTCTCCCAGTAGCCAGTCTTCCCGGCTTCTGGCCCTAAGAGGCTTTTATTCTTCAAGGGAATTACAGGGATGAGTACTATTTCCTTCTATTGAGTACTATCTCCAGTTTTATTGAAAAAGGAAAAAAATCCCAACCGTAGCCTCAGGTCAGGAGACTGGGCCTGCTAATATTGGGAGGGTTTCCCTTACACGAGCTCTGCCTCACCCATCCCTGTGTCCCCCGAAAACACACCTCCAGCAGAGAACCCTCAGTCCGTGCCCCACCACCACTCCTGGGCCAGCTCCTACTCAGCCCTTCACGGGCACTTAGGTGACCCCCAATGGCAGAGCTGGGCTGAGAGCACCAGACCAGTGCCTCCCAAGGCATCGGCTTTGCCCTACTCGCTGTTTATTACTGAAATAATCATCGTCTGTTTCTTCCACTAGATTGTTAGAGAATTTGTTCGTCCATGGCCCCAGCATTTGCTTCAGTGCTGGCCACACAGGCATAGGAAAGCTTATCAGACCCACTGCTGAACCCAGTCATTGCCACAGTGAAGAGCAGAGACTCCATCATCACTCATTAGCCCTGTGACCTTGGGCAAGGTATTTAACCTCTTCGGGCCCCACATGGCTTCCCTCCAGAATGAGGGTAATCATAGCGCTTACCTCATCACCCAGCCTGTGAAGATCACATTAAAACACATAAAGCACCTACGGTAATGACTCAATAAATGTTAGTTCTTAATCTCCCAGCAGCACTTCTCGAGGCCTGTGGGGGGTTGGGGGCGGGGGGCGGCAAGGGAAACCCTTTCCCTCTCTTTCCCCCGACAACAGGCCTCCAGGTCTCCTGTCCTTACTACCCAGGGTTCCTGGAGGCCCCAAAGGCCACTGCCCTGAGGGATTCTGGGTTAGAGTTTCTCACTGGTCACCTTCACTGGTCAGACCCGGACTTCTGAAAGTAGGGGCCAGGACTTTGGTCTCTCTCCTTCATCCCTGGGATTTAGAACTATGCAAGGGACAGAGCAGGTGTTCAAGAAATACTGATTCCTGATCTACAGTAGACCCAACGGGTCAATAGGATGGTTTTGCCCGAGGGGGAGGGAGGATTGCATCCCACCAAGGCTATCTGAGCTGCACTGGGGGCCTTCTAATTTCTGTTGGACCATTTCCTATAAAACCCTTTGCACTGGGGCACCTGAGTGGCTCAGTCGGTTAAGCATATGCCTTCGGCTCAGGGTCCTGGGATTGGGTCCTGGGATTGAGTCCTGGGATCCAGCCCTGCCTCAGGCGCTCTGCTCCGAGGGGAGCCTGCTTCTCCCTCTGTGGCTCTTCCCACTCGTGCCCTCTCTCTCCCTGTCAAATAAATAAACCTTTAAAAAAAACCAACAGCAGCAACAGCAGCAAAAAAACCCTTCATGTTTCAGCAAAAGAGAATTTGGAGCCCCTCTGTGCTCTGGGCTGTGCTAAACCCAACGAGAAAGAAACAAGGGGTTTTGAGAATGTGAAACGAAGATCACGTAACCTCCTGATCAGCACGTGCTCGCCCCGAGACCTGTGAACCTGGGCGGGATGCTGCAGGAGCATGACCCTCAGGAACTTTCTAGTCCCCATTCATTAGCATCTCTGAGATTAGGAGGCAGAGGGGGAGATTGAGGGTAGTGGGGAAGGCCCTGGAGTCAGGCCTCAAAGCCCCACTAGTGGGGCCTGGGGATGGTACAAGGAGGCAGGGAAGGTTCCCAGGACCCCAGATATGTGTCTGAGGTGTTGGCCCCTAAAAGGCAGAGGGCAGGGGATGAGGTGTTGTGGGTGGGAGGCTCTGTCCTTCTGCAGAATGAAGACGTTTGCAGGGACACAGCACTAACCCTTCAGCTCTCCCCTCTGGCCAGGCCCGCCCAGCTCTCCAGGAGGAGCCTGGTGGAATTACTAGATACTTCACCTGCTGAGCCTGTTTTCCCATCTGTAAAATAAGGCCAGTGGGTCTTCAGTTTCAGGTCTATTATAGGGATCAGATAGGATCAGGACTGTGAGAGCGGCCCCCAACTCAGTGTTGGTTTCTATCCCTCTCCCGGTGGTCCCCCACTCCCTCCTCTCTGCCCTCCCGCCGCCCTGGCCCCACTCGCCTTTGGCCGTGACAGAAATGCCCATGGCGGCCTCTCGCAGCAAGCTCCTCTTCTTCCACTTGCCCTCATCGATGTTGTACATCTCCACGACCTTCAGGGGCAGCTGACTGGTGCCCACACCCCCGATCACCATGATCCGCTTCCCCAGGGCGATGGCGGCCACCCCGGCCCGGGCTGTGGGCAGGGGGGGCAGGGCGGTCCACTGGTCGGCCTCGGGGGAGGAGACCTCAAAGCAGTCCATGGGGATGCCGTTGTCGTCACATCCCCCGATGGCATAGACCTGCCCCCCGCTCTCCAGCAGGGAGCAGTAAACCCGGCGGCTGGGCAGCGGCGCCAGGCGCTTCCACTGGAAGTCCTTGACGTTAGGCACCTCCATCGCAGCCCCGGGGGCCCCGCCCGCCGCGCCCCTGTGCCCGCGGAGAGCCAGGGCGCCGCGGGAGGTGCGAGCCCGGGGGGCCGCCCGTTACTCCGCGCCCCCTCTCGCCGCCTCCATCTGGCTCCCGTCCGCCGGCTCCCGCCCGACCCCGGGCAAGGGCCCCGACGCCGGCCAGCGCTTCACAGTCCCTCCAGACTGCGCGGTCCGGCGGCGTCCGCGCCTGGCCCTGCGGGAGGGATAGGGGCGAATCAAGGGCGGTCGGGGCCCCGCGCCCTCGCCTCCTAGCGCCGCCCGCCGGGCGGGCTCCCGGCTCCTAGGTCCTCGCCAACTTTAAAGGGAGGACTCGGCGGCCGAGGGCGCCACCCCGCGGCGGCATCGCGCCCCGCAGCGCCCTGTCCCCCGCCCCTCCGGACGGGCTGCTCGGACGCTCGCGGGGCGCGCGCCGGGCTGGGTGCTTTCGGGGGCTCGCGGCGCCCCGCTGCCTGCCCGCGGAGCGAGGAGTTAACACCTCCCGGCTCCGCCGCCTCCCTGCCCCCGCCCCCCTCCCCGCGCCCTCCCGCCCACGCCCCCGCTCCACTTACACAGCCAGGCCCGAGGAGCGCGGCGGCGAGGCGCAGACCGCGCATCAGCAGGGAGCGGGGAAACGGGGATCCGGGAGCCCCTCCGCCCCTGGGCCGCGGGGAGCCGGGGAGAGGGCGCGGTGTCCTTTCCCAGCGCGCACGCCGCCGTCACACATGCAGGCGAGGAGAAGGGACGAGCAGCGCGAAGGAGAAGCGGAGCCGCCCGCGGGGAGGAGGCCGGCCCCGCCGCTCCGCGCACCTCCCCACCCGTAGCCGCCACACCTGTGCAGGAGACCGCGTGCGCCCCGCGGCGGAGCAGGCCGTGACCTCTTTACATAAGCGCTGGCAGCACCAGCCCGCGGGGGAGGGAAGGGGCCCCGCGGGAGCCGCTCACCTTGTCTACCGGGTCAGAGGGGCGGGGCACTGGAGCCAGGAACCCAGATTCCAGGGACCAGACTCCCTCCAGCTTGATGGTGGTGTGTGTGGGGGGGGGGGGGGGCGCGGTTTGTGTTTGTTTTGGATGAGGAGGCGGAGAGACCAATTACCCAGTTTATCTACAGCACCCAGACCCGGTTCGTGACAGGCTGGCTCAGTAGTCAGCTTTGCGTTGGGGGAGGCAGGATCAAGTGGTTTAACCTCATAGAAACAAGGTCCGTGGGTGTGACACGTGCAGACCTGACACAGGTGCACCCAGACAGAGCGGGGCCACTGACCCCGCACACCTCTGTGTGACTTACACATCGCCCCAGTCTCTCCCGTCCGGAAACTGACAAAGCACACACATGTAGACACATGACCAAAGACACCGAAGTAGATGGAGGAACGGGGTGGGGCGGGGGGAGGCGGCGCTCCCCCACGGCCCTGCCTTCTGCACATTCCTTGAGAAGGGGAGGCCTGGTTATGCAATGTTGCCACTCAGCACCAATCCATGGGACTTGCCAAATAATTTTCTCAAGCCACATTCTCATAGCCTTTTGAGGATAGCAATCCCCTTGTAACAAAGGTGCCCAAGACAACTGTGGGCCCCCTGGTCTGACTGCAAAGCCTGTGGGGTCCTCCTTCTTCCTGGTTCCCTTGAATAGTCTTGAAACACTCAGGCTTGGGAGTCTGACAGAGGTGGGTTTGAATTCTGGCTCTGAAATTATTTAACTACTCCGAGACCCAATTTCCTTCTATTATTTTAATTTATCTTTTTATTTGGAGATAAATTGTAGATTTACCTGCAGTAGTGGGAAATAACACCCTTTACCTAGTTTCCCTCAATGGTAACATCTTGCAAAACTTATAGTACAATAATATTACAACCAGCCTATGGCAATTAATCAGGGAAGGTACTTCCTTCACATCACTAGGATTCTTTCTGTTCCCCCTTCATACTCACACCTACTTCCCTACCACCCTTTGCTCTCCAGGCCCTGGCAACTATTCATCTGTTTTCCATTTCTATAATTTTGTCATTTCAAGAATGTTACATAAATAGGATGATACAGTAGGCAACATTTTGGGATTGACTACCCACCCCCCTCCTGGCATAATTCTGTGGAAATTCGCCAGGTTGTTGTATGTTTGCCAATAGTTTATTCCTTTCTATTTCTGATAGAAGTATCCATAGTATTCCATGCTATGGATGGATCCTTGCAGATTTTTGTGAAGATTAAATGAGATATTGTTTGTAAAAGGCTCTGTTCCGTTTTCCGACACAGAGCAGGGCCTGGTAAATCGCTGTTAACACCATTGTTACCAACTATCGTCAACAACTTGCAGAAGAAGGCAGAGAACAAACACAGACATTTTGCCCCTTGCTCAGGAATGACTTCCTGTAAGAAGCAGACGTCACGACTCACAGTAGGCCTATCTTAATATCTTGAGTTCTTGGCTTAGAAATTCCCCTCTTTTAGTTTGAATTCTCTGTACTTACAAAGTAAGCACCTCTAGAACCTTAAGAGGAAGGTTGTGTTCTGTTTTCTCTATTCAGTAAGAACTCATAAATTTCAAAAGAATGTGGTCTGAATTAATGTTTTACAAGAAACACCAAATATTTCTCTTCTGTCCTGGGGATCACAATCTCCCCGGGGGGGACTAGGGAATAGACTTTCAACCCCCCACTTGAGCTGTCTTCACAAAACCAGCACAGGCTGATCAGGAAGACTGAAAGCCCTAGGATTTCCTCAAAGGGGCTTGTGGGGATGGGTCTTCAGTCTCTTTTACCCACCGAGCTTTTTTTTTTTTTTAAATGAAAATAAAAACATTTATTTACTTTAGAGAGGGGTAGGGAGAGAGCATGAGCAGGGGGAGGGAAAGAGAAGCTCCAGCAGGCTCCCCACTGAGCATGGAGCCTGACTTGGGGCTCCAGATCACAACCCTAAGATCATGACCAAAGCCAAGATCATGACCTGAGCTGAAATCAAGGGTTGATGCTTAATCCACTGTGCACCCAGGTCTCCCTTGCTTACTGAGCCTTTTTTTTTTTTAAATGCTGCTTTTATCCTCAGTATTTTTTTTTAATTTTTATTTATTTATTTTCTTAAAGATTTTATTTATTTATTTGACAGACAGAGATCACAAGTAGGCAGAGAAGCAGGCAGACAGAGAGGAGGAAGCAGGCTCCCCGCCGAGCAGAGAGCCCGATGCGGGGCTCGATCCCAGGACCCCGGGACCATGACCTGAGCTGAAGGCAGAGGCCTTAACCCATTGAGCCACCCAGGCTCACCGAGCCTTTTTTTTTTTTTTTTTTTAAGATTTTATTTATTCATTGGAGAGACGGAGAGAGAACACAGCTAGGCAGAGGGAGAAGGAGAAGCAGGCTCCCCCCTAACCAGGGAGCCTGCAGCAGGGCTCGATCCCAGGACTCTGGGATCATGACCAGAGCCAAAGGCAGCCGCTTAACCGACTGAGCCACCCAGGTGCCCGCTTACTGAGCCTTTTGCCAAAGCAGTGAGGCAAGGCTCCTTGTGCCCCCACCCACTCCAGCGGGGCAGCAGAGTCCCACACTACTTTGCGTTTGCAAAACTCATCCAGCCAACCCAAACCCTCACACACCCATTTTCTCATGATCTTTGAAACAACCCTGGGAAAGGTGACCCGGGGGGGTGTTGGTCTGCACTTTCACAGATGGGGAGTCTGAGACTTTGTGACATAAAGTAAAGGACTTGTGGCCTTTTGAGGGCCTGGACCAGTGTGGATCTGTTTTGTGAATTCCAAATCCAACCCCCCCCCCACTTTAACAGTTAAATCACAAAGGAAAGCTTGTGTATTTTTAAGGACACCGAGCTTTTCCACTCACACCTGGCTTCCGGCTTTTTGTCCAGTTACAGTGAAGGAAGGAGCCCAGGCCCCCAAAGGGTTCCAGCGACTTCTGTCCCCCCATTGCTGGACTGTGTGCTGGGCAGCATCACTGGGAAAGGACTGGACTCCAGCCCCAGAAGACGCCCCATCCGAGCCTAATGCTCATGTTTTGCAAGCACCACCCTCTGTGAGGACCACGAGATCTAGGGACTCAGACCCTTGGAAAAGTACTAAGAACGGGATGCCTTTCAGACCATGGCCTAATTGCTTGTTCTGGAAATACTGGCTTCTCTCCATCTCCCCTACTCCTTCCCCCATGGCTCTTCCTCCCAGCCAGGTGACATCCTTTAATCCTTACATTGAGTGCACATTGAGGAAACTTGTAACCTAGCAACCGCCACTTAAGATTCCCTGAGTCACGGGCGTGTTTCCATGTCTGGGCAGAGCGCACCAAGCTGGGGCCTGAAGGCGTGCCAAGCAGAGGCAGGGAGTCTGGTGACCCCTTTGATGCCTCCACAGCCTGCTCTAGAGCGAGGCCACTTTCCCTCTCAGCACCTTCTTCCTCCGGTCAAACCTAAACCCTTCTCGCTCTGACACCTTGCGCTGCATCAGGTCCAGCTTTCTCTTCTCTCTTAAGAAGTGTTTGACTTTCTGCCTTGGTGACTAGATGGCACAGGACAGTGGGGAAGCGGGGGAAGGAAAGTTGATGAGAGCCTCTGACAATAAATTCTCTCTTTGGTTCTGCAGAGTCTTTCTTACCATGATATTTCTGCACCAGCCTTGTCAAGGGGATGCTCAGCTCTAGAAAAAGTCAATACCCCCGCTCGTGCTCTCTTTCTCTCTGACAAATAAATAAATAAAATCTTTTAAAAAAAAGAAAGAGAAGAAAAGAAAACCCACTTTCTAGAGGTATGGGAGGAACCAGATGCCAGGCAGAGATCCTGGGCACGAGGGAGGTACATCGTTCCTCTCTGTGTGACGGCAAGTCCCCACCCTGACTTTTTGGGCATCCAGGCCAGTGTGCCCAAACAGCAGGTGCCTGTTTCACAGAGTAGACCCCTTAGCAGGGCTCACACTCTCTTGTGCCCAGCCACGTCTGCGCCTGCGTCTCGGGCAGGACTTCTTCCCTCGTAGCACACTGAAATCTCACGGGCTTGATCTGGAGAATGGCCGGG